CCCCAAAACCCCAAAACCCCAAAACCCCAAAACCCCTTTTTCTCTAAAACTCATTGAAGTTTATAAAATTAATCAGTCCAATGATTTCTAGAAGTATGATGTTCATGCGTATGCAAAGAGTATGCCTAAAACTTTCCAAAACCTTAACCTTTGTCTCTATAGAGCATGGCCAGAGGAAGCAGAGCCTTCTGATCCACAGACAAGAAGAAAGTCGACTTTGGGTATGAAAATGTAGATTTTGATGAGAAAGAAGGCAAAGTAAAAGAAGTCTTCCATAAAGTAGCAAATAATTATGATATAATGAATGATGTAACAAGTCTTGGCATTCATAGGCTATGGAAGAACTATTTTGTCAGCCAAATTGGCCCTATGAGGAGAAAAGTTGTGTATAATGCAAACGGAGAGCCGACTGATAAGTATGAGCCAATGAAAATACTTGATGTTGCAGGAGGTACAGGAGATATCGCATTTTTGATTCATGAAGAAGTTAAGAGTCAAAGACAAACCAGTGTTAACGCTGAAGCTGAGATTACTATCTCTGATATAAACTCTTCAATGCTTGGAGTTGGAAAGGATAGAGCCAAGGAAAGAGGGTATACCAACTTCAATTGGCTTGAAGCAAATGCGGAGTCTATTCCATCACTTGAAGATAACACATTTGATCTTTACACAATCTCTTTTGGGATTAGAAACGTGACTGATCGTCTGAAAGCCTTAAAAGAAGCTCACAGGATCCTTAAAAGAGGAGGAAGATTTATGTGTCTCGAATTCTCGGAGGTAAAAATCCCAATTTGGAAAGAAATGTATGATGTTTATTCTATGAATATCATTCCTTTAATGGGGCAGATCATCTCTAATGATAGTGCGAGTTATCAATATTTAGCAGAAAGTATCCGTAAGTTCCCAAACCAAATGGAGTTTGCTTCCTTAATTAAGGATGCTGGGTTCAAGCATGTAACCTATGAGAACCTCTCTGGTGGGATCTGTGCAATTCATTCAGGATATAAATTATAAGATTTAGTATTTAAGGAGGTCCATGCTCAACAATTTTCAAGTTAAAAGGGGTTTTGGGGTTTTGGGGTTTTGGGGTTTTGGGG